GATGTATATAGCCACTGGATAAAGCGTGGCGATGAGCAAAACCGGGCTGCCCTCTTTGAGAATCAACCCCACCATGAATTGGTAACCGAGCCCTCAGATTCCCTCACGCTGGGCCGGGAAGATACCCTAGAGTACATGGGCGATGACTACGAAGGCAGCTACCAGAACGAAGTTTTCAGAGAAATGGATGACTACGGTCCCGAGATCTCCACTCTCTCTTAGTACTGTCTTCTTTTGGATCTTCTTTCCTAGCCATTTTCCTTCCCATTGCCTCTCCTCTCCCCTTCTCCCATATTTGCTCTCTTTGTTGCACTAAAAGCGCCCTAGATCTGGTTTTCCCCGTCCATTTATGCGTAAATACGGTCAAAGGCCTGGTCCGTTTTAAGTATTTGCTTCTGGTGGTGACTTGAGGTAGCACAAGTAGTGCGCTCGGTCGTCCAGAGTAAAACGTGCCACGACTATGTCCCAGGTTCATCATTGTTATTCTTATTTGATATCTACCTATAAATACGTGTGTGTACTATACTCTCCTATCTATCGTTCGCTGTACCCTGCTGCCAAAATTTAAGTATTCCGTCGCTAGCTCTTCGCGCATTTCAGTTTCGCCATTCTGTTGCACATGAGCCCATTGCCTGAAACTCGCTTATCTACTTCCTTACATCCACTCCAGTTTTTACACTGAGATCCCTTTTAAAACATATATGTATCAGGGCTTCAACTGCTAGCAGTTGGTCAACCACATTCGCTTTCATTAATGGCTCTAGAAGACCTACTGTGATGAGTCATCCTGATTTCGTAGTTTTATTTCCCGTTTTTTTTTAAATTTATCTCGATCATGACTATCTTCCCTACATACACAATACCTCAAAAACTACTTGTACACTTAGTTTTTTGTGGATTTGTTTTTGATGGCAACCTACTTTCAAGATAACTCCATGTCTGGACATAGAATCTCTCCTGACTAGATCTGTCTTATGATTGGCTAATCACGAGAAGTGGGCTTTCTAGGAGAAGGAAGTTCGCCTTTTCTAAGGTTGGCTCCATTGGATCAGAGCTCCAAACTGCCCAACAGGCCCTGAGTGATATTGCATTTTACCGTAGTGAAGACTTACACTTTCTTCTCAAGGAGTTACTATCGTAAATATTGTCTGTTGTGGTCTTAGACTGTTTGGACCTCCCGGAATTCCTTCTTGATGCACATGAGTAGCCCACCTCAGAAAATCTCACCACTCCCACCAGGCATTGTCCTAACAGGAAAATACTCTGGAGAGTGAGTGTTCCCGTATTTGCCAAAGAAAAATCATTCCAGGGTTCTAAACTGTCACGAATATGAAGTACTCTCGTTTCGCTGTTGGCTCATATGTGACTCGTGTATGTATGTATGTCAGTTCACCCATGGTTTCGGTAACCACATATCCCCCGCCTGGTCGGTCGATGGTGACTTTTGTCCGGGTAATCGTTCCTCATGTGATTACGGAAGTCACGGGATTCTGTAACGTCACACCCTATGGTATGATTGAGCGACCAACATAGTTCGGACAATCACAAAGGTCGGCATAATTTTCGTCAGGGCGGTGAAATCTTTTTTACACTTGTGCCAGCGTTCGTGACCGGTCGTACTGACCTTGAACTAGCGTAGAGTGATGCGAACAGCTGGTGTGCGCCTACGAAAACTATCTTTTGACGTCATACACCATCTATCACGTTATAATAGGTGGGGTTGGTGAAGGTGGCCATTTGCGCGGATACGCTCACGTGAAATGGTCTCGAAGAGCCTCGTGGCTGTCGTGATGCCGAGAGGAATCTAAAAAGCGCCAGAATCCGCCCTGACGCTTTGCTTGGCACTTGAGCGTCATGTTAAATGTTTTGTGCGGAGACGTTTTCACTTTGGCGTTTCTGGCTTGTTCTTCTCTTGTGCCTGCCTAGAAGTCTATACATCGTCCTGATTCGCTCTCTAGAGTCTTAACTAGGCTTTTTTGGAACGAAGAGCTTCTCATTGGCCTGTACATAAGATTCGAACTTCCTGGGAGTACTTGTGACCGAAATGGCCATATTTTGCTGGGCCGGACCGTGATTTAGACTAGTGTAGTAGTTACTGCCGTAAAGTTGTGCCTCGGTCTCTCCTTGCCGATTAGGCCACATGTATAGTCGCATTTTGCATTGCCTCCAGTCGAAAAAACCGCATCAGCGCAAGAAATTTTGTGGACGGCCTTTGGTGGTATGGTTTGTGACTACAGACGCTAGAATTGTTTGTGCGAACACTATCCCGAACAGCAAGATATTGTCCTTCGTTGAAGCAAACTTTGGCAGGAGTGCGTGGCCGTGTTGTTACAAGGTGAGGTATGCTTATGGTTTCTGCTGGCGTCCGGAAGTAGAATCAGAAATTGAAGTAACAGTTTTTACGTGCTAATTAAATAAAATTAGTTAAAGTTGATAAACCTTTCTTGAAAGAAGAAGCAGGCGTTATAGCCATCCGAGGGCCTTGGCGCATGTCCACGGATATAGTCACTTTGCAAACAGTACACAATTGTCCGTCAGACTGGCCAATTGAAAGGAACAAACTAAGCATTTTGGCTGATTGGCAGCCACATGTTATCCTCCAATTCCTAACCCAGAAGCGGACAAGTATTCTCGACCTTATCGAGGGCTTGTTGCTGTCTCGACTCCAGAAGGATCCCTCAATCAAAAGTCTGGGAAGACGGAATGAATGGGAACAACTTTACTGAGCTAAAGTAGCTTTACAGTAGCTGCTGCAAGTGCCGCGTACAGAAGCCAGTGGAAAAAGTGTCTATACGCGCGGGTTTAGCGAAGCCTGTCCGGTCATCAGCCAACCAGGAAAGGATGCAGGTGTTGGCATCAGAGCTCGTGAGGAATCGATTAGCTTCGGGCGTAGGCGCGTCCACAGTAGGGTGGCAGAAGTACAAGAGCGCGCAGAGGTAAGAGGATGAGTCAGCGTTGGGCGCGCGGGTAAACAAAGGTTTGGAGGATGAGAAAGAGACGAATACGCGCAGCCCTATCGAATTCAGGCTGCTACAACCTCGTTAGTCGTTTTGACGATGATCTAGGTCCAAACCGCTAACCAGGTAGACACTAGCTTGTTTTGACCCCCTCCACTCGCAGCTGCTAGCATGTGCGCACGCACCAGTGTCTGCCTACCCCAATCTCGTCTGGCCAATCCTCTCCCTGTGGTCGACTCACAAAAAGCGCGCTGTAGACAATGTGATGACTGCCGCACCTCTCGGGTGCAGACGCACGCCTGTTCAACTGTCAACTTCCTCCAACTTTTTTC